CCGAAACGAATGAGGAGAATTAGAAAGCGATAAAAGATTTGAAAAAAAAATAAAAAAAATAAAACGAAAGTCTGAGTGCAAAGTGAAAATATAACAATGTTTTCTTAGCGAACGAAGAGCATTGCTGATGGTGTTCGATACGTACGGAAGTTGTTATTAATCGATAGAGGGGAGAATATTCTAGGAATTCGATTTTCAAAGGTAGAAGAATGCAGTGCAAAAAACCATTCGAACATACACCCTCGAAATGTTTTGATTTCAATTTGTGATTTATCACGGCATCATTTGTTGATTTGGCACCATTACTGTTGTATTGTTTTTATCACAAACTATTACTAACGATAAGAAGGATGGAACTAATGCTAATACGAGTATCATCACTATGAATTTGACATTATCACTGATATACATTCTTGATTCGTAATCATTTTGCAAATCGACATCGAAAACGAAATGCAAACGCATGGAATCAACATTTACGCACAACTCATTCATTGTATTAGTGATCAGTTGGGGTGGAACAAAAGCTTGATATTATAATGCATGAGAATATTATATATGTGCAATAGAGGCTACTGACAATAAGTTTAGCACAATTAGACATTATGTAAATTTGATCGAAATGATGCGCAATAAGCGAAGAAAATATGAATGAATACATTTGAATACAAATCAGTATCATTCAATGTTTTGGACCTTAGAAATTAGATAAGTATTGGTCTGTATTTAAACTACTATATGAAAAGGTTTTCATTAGAATGCATCATCATAATTGTAATGCGAACCTTTCGTTGAAAGCTTTTGAATCCATTAACGGACTGCTCGGGTTGCTGTTGATGTTGTGCGAATGATGATTTCGTTGGTTCTGAGCAACAGCTGAATGATGCCAGTCTGGAATCATCTGTGACCGGATTTTTGGCCATAAACCCGGGCCATGAATTGGCCGACGGGTATGTGGGTGATGGAGACGACGACGCATGATTGAATGACGTAGCGCCTATTGAATGTGCTGATGCTGGCTTATTAATATTATTATTGTAGCTATTACTAGTATTGTTAGCATAATTATTATTGGTGTATTGAAATGATGTGGGAGCTTGTTGTTGAGGTGACAGAGATGAGAATGAATTTGCTACACTTGTAGCAACTGCCGTGAGTGGTTGGCCCGTATTTGGCGCTGTATTGAGAACGGATTGAGCTGGTGACATGCCACTATTATCGTCAAGAAGTTGATGCGGCTGTGACAACGGAGTACTGGCCAGTTCATTCAGATCTGGTGGTGCATAGGGGGGCATTGGTTTGGTGATCGGTTGTGTGCTTGTGGAACACGGTGCATAGTTTGCAGTGCTGCTGCTGCTGCTGCTGCTGCCACTGCTGCTGTTGTATTCATTCGCAGAATATTGGAATCGCGACCGAACAGCGTTTGTTTCAAGAGATGATGACGATGCCATCCCAAACACTTGTTTCACGCAATGAATTATGGTCTGGCTGATTTTTGCAACTGTTCTTATGCTTGTTGATCAGGGATTCAATCTGAAAACACAAAGAAAAGATTAGCTTAAAGAATTTTGCTCGCCATATACCGCAGTATCGTCGAGAGTTTAGCTGACTGAAACTTTATTGAATACAATTGTGCAGTGAAGTGCGAATTGCATGATCAAAATGAGCGCTGAATACTTTNATATTGGAAACGTGCAAAAGATAACAAGAATCAGCACCACCACCACGGATGTGAAATGAGTTTTTGCATGAGTATGCAAACGAGAATGGCATGAAACTAGTGGTGGTGGTGGTGGCACTGTGCTGTTCGACTAGGCTTTGTGCGTTTTTTGTTTGGTGTGCTCGCCGCATCAAATGAAAATCGAATCAATGAACAAAGCGTGACACTTCTTCATTTCTGAGCGACACAAGATTCGGATTAAAATGAGTGGAAACCAAGAGAAAGTTTCAGTGAAAGTTTGCACACAAAAACAACGCGCCAATAAAGCGTTGCTAATCGTATGAATGATGAATTGTTCTATTTAAGCAATCAAATTGATTGTAAACGTACGAAAAAAAAAACATTTTCAGGTGAGTCAATTAGTGACGAGTCAAAATGGAGGGTAGTTTGATACTGGTGGGTCGTTAAGGAAGCAATTTTTAATTGACGGAATTTGATTTGATAGTGCAATGAAAATGATGAATTGTTGAAAAATCAATTGGAATCCTCGTGAAGAGTGCTGAATCAATCTTTAATTTGTAAGAAAACACATATACACATACACAGAGCACACCTCATTCACGTTTCAATCAGATACACTACAGGAACATAAAAGTTTTATAAACGATGATGAAAATCAATGAATGAATGATATTTTTAAGAACATAACGTTTGTGAGTGATATATTGTGAATGCGAAAAAAATTGTAAAATTGGAAGCGAATAAAAGAGATGATGCAAAACGATTTAAACAGCTTTCTCAGCCAATATCAACCAACAACAACAATATTTATTTTCATTTAAAAATGAATGATACCATATTATAAGCGATATAAATGTATACATACGGCGTATACATAAAAATGAATGCACATATATATTTGTTTGTACTTCGCATATTGAAGGAGAGGAATGGATATAAGTGGGTATGTATAAGAGACAACAAGATTAAATCACTCAAAAACGCGTAACATCGACGATCCATCCNATCCATCCGATTGTAGAACCTTGTGGTGAATGAATGGATATGAACGCTCTGTAACAGCACTACAAACCGATTATTTGTATTATTGCTGTTGTTGTTATCATTATTATATTATTACTGTTACGATTACAGTTATTATTGATATTGTTATTGTATTATTATTGTTACTATTACACCTATTATTATTGTCATTATTATTAATACTTTCATTATTACAGCATTTCTACCATAATGCTAGTGGGTTGCATCCATGAGACAAAATAAATAAATAAACGAATGAATGAATGAATTTATCACTCAAAGCGAAATACTATTCGTTCCCTCGAAATCAAGAATCAGCAGAATTAAACAACAATCCAATCAAACAAAATCGCATTCCAATTTCGATTACTTCACATATCGAAATATTCCCTCTCATTTTCCACGAATCTCCTCTCACAGATTGATGTCTTTCGGATGAGTGAACGAGAAATTGGTTTTGGTTGTGAGATTGTATTTTATTAATTTCAATTCCGAATTATTCCGAGAAGGGATGCATTTTCGTTATCAACTCATTAAATTTTCGTAGTTGAAGCATTGAAAGAAAAAGTTGCGTGTGTCTAACAAGATCAATCATTTCAATCAGTCTGCACTGAATTTAAAAATTTTAATCTGCAAAATTCATCTGCAAAACAATTCAACTATTGTATAATAATAATAATAGATGCTTTTTTGCATGATATTCGAAGGTTCCGTTGCCTTACAAAGACAATGTTGAGAAGGAGTGGAAATGCGCGATATAAGACAAAATAAGGGGAGGACGAGCAGAGCGGATGGACATACACTCAAAACAGAACAGGAATGAGGAATTTCATTAACTTGATGGTTTTGTGAGGATACGGAGAAGTTAAATTATGAATGCATAGAGATCAGTTTTTCGTTTGCTATTCTGCAGAAGTGTAACTTGAATATTTAGGAAATGCATGCGTGCGTACGTATGTGTGGAAAATCAGATTTGAAAACTTGAAAAAAGATTAGATTCGAATGAAACATTTTTGCAGATTTCACTATGAGTCGCCGTCACTGAGGTCAACAAACGTATCAGTGAGTAAAAAATTAATGCAGAATTTCATTTGCATGATAATTTTCATTATGGAAAACACTTTTGGTGTCGCAGTTGCAAGCTCTTCCGAATCGTGCATAGCATATTTGTCCGTACTCACTAAAGTATGCTTGGTGCATGAAAAGAACGGAAGAAGTGAAATGGATGACGAAGGATATTTTGATGTAAATTGTGCCATTATATTCAAAGATGGATTATATATGATATCATGATAGGACGGCCAACATGCTCTCATACACAAAATGAAATAGGCATCAAATCGTTCTCGCAAAGAAAGCAAACGATGCATGAATAGAAATGGATTAGCATCGCTGAATCACTGCGAAATATAATAAAGACAAAAAGATACCTTCTCTGAAAGTTCAATCGCAATCGATTCGGGGCGATAACCATGGAATATTGCTCGGATTGAAAACAGTCAAGTCATAAACTTTCTGAAATCATAACCACGAAAGACATGATTCGTGAACTCAAAACGAACTTCATCCATTCACAAAACGATTATTTGAGTGCAATCAAAAGCGAATCTCGCCGCATTCATTCGCTAATCGCCGTTAATGAAGAAGATAGCAAACGTTACACGAATATTCAACGAGCAATCAACAACTATTTCATGATCATATCTACAAATACGACGTATACGCACTCAGTTTTCATTGTTCATCCCACAAAATGCACTCACTCAGTCGCGTATGTGATGCGTATCACTTATGAGAGATATCGTTTGTTGGTGTCGTTTACATGACTGTAAGTTAATAAGATGGCGGGACGAAACGCACATTTTTCAGGTCATAGCCCCCCATCGAGGAGGGTTTCTCCGACGACGCAAAAGTTGGCTAAGAATCATCATATGTGATCGATTCATGAATGAAGAGCGCATAACTTTTCGGGAATAACTGGAGAGATTGGTTCACGTTTGATTTAAACCCCACAGGGGATTTCATTCCACATAAGCATGCTGCTCTTTCGGCACACTCAAACATACATGTGGTGTAATATATGTTCGAATGAAAACAAACTTATAATAAGAGCTCATGGCTAATACTGTTGCGTTCTTCTCGATTTTCGACAAAACCACTACATTTGGTCTTAATACTGATGTCTTCTTTCTGGAACACTCACGGATCAATTCGCTTCCACTTTGCAGCCTTTCAAAATACCAATCAGCCTAGATTACTAGACAGCAAGGTGGTATATGGATGATATATTTATTTGACGTAAATTAATGAAGAACACATTTATGTAATCGTATTGAGTGTGAATAACGAGAACGATAAATGATATGAAGAAATTCAATCGAATGAATGAATGAATGAATAAGCTTATTGCACGTAGAAACAAATAGATGGCATTGAGAATGAAAGCAAAAAACAAAATGAAATAAATAAATAAATATGTTCATGTTGGTATGTAAATACATACATACATACATACATACATACA